ACTGTTTTAGGGTTTGTGACTCCCAACCAACATCAACTGATTAAAGAGTCAGTCAACTACCAATAACCAGTTGACATTATGGGGAGTCGGGGAGTCGACTCCCAATAATGCCTTCCTTGATAAAAACAAAGAAAAATGTTATGTTATAGCGCAGAATTAAACTAATTTGGTTGCCTATAAAATGCTACGCCTATTTTTCACTTTTCAAATCGAGCCGAACTACGCCGGTTGCCCATAAGTTCTTGCTACTCCTCTCTCTCTCTCTCACTGCCCGCAGACAAAATTGCATGCTTTCAACACAAGAACGCCGGAACTTTCGTTTACACTGATATCACAGTGAATGCACACAGGGTGAGAAAAGCCAAAAGGCTCGCCCTCTTACCCAGACGGATCGGTCTGAGCTGATGCGCTAAGCGGTGAACGCACACCGGGTGAGAATAGCCAGAAGATTTGTCCTCTCAAAATCCTTTGAGGTAAAAAATTGCGTTTTTGTGACTCCCAATAGCATCCACTGATTAAAGGGGCAGTCGACTCCCAATAACCAGTTGACATTATGGGGAGTCGATTCCCAATAACGCCTTCTTTGATAAAAACAAAGAAAAAAATTGTTATGACACAGAAGTTAACTAATTTGATTGTCTATAAAAATGCTACGCCTATTTTTCACTTTCCGAATCGAGCCGAACTACGCCGGTCGCCATTTTGTTTTGCCCATATGTTCTCGTTACTCCTTCTCTCTCTCTCTCTCACTGCCTGCAGACAAAATTGCACGCTTTCAACACAAGAGCGCTGGAACGTTTGTTTACACTGATATCACAGTGAACGCACACCGGGTGAGAAAAGCCAAAAGGCTCGCCCTCTTACCCGGAGTGATCGGTCTGAGAACGCACACCGGGTGAGAATAGCCAAAAGATTTGCCCTCTCACCTGAGAGGCCTACAACTGCACAGTTTTCACAGTGGGTGAGAATAGAGGTGGCTTATATTCTAGTTTCATAGTGAAGTGGTAGCTGTTACGAAAGATCCTTTCAAATGCAGAAGGGCTAGTGTGGTCTATCTTCAATAGTCTCTATCAGGAATGCTGCTTTTGGGGTTTGTTTTTGTTTTGTCTTCCGAATAGTGTATTTAGAGATCAAGTGTATAAATAGAGCCCCAATTTGTGCTGTTTTAATATTTTTATAATGATGGCTTCAACTCCTTCCTTTTCCATTTTTGCCGTGAAGCTGTAATGACTGTAATCTAATTTTTCCTGTAATTAATTATTTTTTTCAAGCTAGTATTTTTACTTTGATTATGATCACAGCATGGCTCCCTGGTGTCCAGCGTGCAGAGCCTTCCAAGACGTGTGGGCAGAGTTTGCTGGTTGGGGATATGATCTGGACATCTCCGTAGGTGTGGTGGATGTCACAGAAAACCCAGGTGTGTGTTTTGCTCAGTGAGAATATTAGATGAAGTTGATGTTTGTTGTGACTTAACTGTTTGTGTATTTTTAAAATAGTATTACTGTTTTATAAAGTTTTAATAATTCTTCTGGATATTTTTGTTAGCTTTACCTTTCAGTGACTGCAGACTGTCCAATTTTTCGACTCCCAAAGTATTTGCCGTTGAAACTCTGTCCTGGTTAACTTTTTTAATGGGTTTGTTTTCTATTCATAATTGTAGAGATGAAGACATGTTTGTATTATTATCTAAAGCTCAGTTTTATCCTGTTAATCGGTTTGGCAATTTAGTATTGTCAGAATATGCCCTCCTTTACTTCTACCTGTCACAGACTCCCTGAAAGGGGCCTCTCCTGGTCTAGAGGTTAAGGTGTTTGCCTCTCATTTAATAAGTCCCGGGTTCGACATCTGACTGCGCCCTAAAATTTTCTTCTCTAAAATGTTCTCCTTTCACCTACTTTCCTGCTCTCTAACCATGTTCTGTCGACTGCTTTTGTCTCCAATTTCTGCCCCCACCCCACCCCCTTCCCTTTTGCCCCCACCTGTGGGCTCCTGTTTTTTTTCTGCAGCCTTTCTTCTGCTGCTCCTTGTCTCCTTACTGCTGTCTTTAAACCACACCTCTGATCTTATGGTAGGTAATATCTAACACCTAACCTTCTCGGAAAGGGGCAAACAATCTCGGAGGTCCCATGCGCACGTTAAAGATCCTTTGGTGGTCCAAAATTGATAAGGAGAGTAGAGTAGACTTTGGTCGCCACCTAGGTAAAATTCAAAATTAATTTGTACCAAACTGAAAATGTTTAAATGGCCTCGCGGCTCTTATACCTTATGCTGTTGCGAGCACCGTAAAACACTTACTAAGACTCCCTGAAATTTCTGAAGCTTGAAACAAATTTTGCTTGAAATATTAACCCCAGAAGCACGCACTATCTTATCAGAAGTAACCTGCCCCAAATGCCCCACCACAATGGCCGATCCTTTGTAAACATGGAGTTTGGTGGGGGGGTTTTTTGTAAGTGTTGTACGGCGCTCGCAACTGCATAAGGGCATATGAGCACGCGGGACACACCTAACATTTTCAGTTGGTAGGAAATTTTGAATTTTGCCCGGGTGGCGGCCGTAGTCTACTCTTATCGATTTTGGACCTCCAAGGGATCTTTAATGTGCGTAACTTGCACACGAGACCTCCGAGATTTTTTGCCCTTGTCCGAAAAGGCTAAGTGTAGATCTTTCCTGCCAGAAGATCAGGGATGTGGCTGAAAGACTGCAGAAAGAGTCGGGAGCCCAGAGGAGGGGGCAAAGGAGGTGAGGGGGTGGGGGCAGAAAGTGAGGACGAAAGCAGACGACAGAATATATATTGCAAGAGAGCAGGAAAGGAGGTGAAAGGAGAAAATATTAAAGAAGAAAATTTTTCACTGGGACCTTTGAATGAGAGGCGAACTCCTTAAGGGGAGACGTACACTCCCCAAAAATTTTTCTAAACGAATGACTTATATTCTCTTTCATGTAATTGTGCAAGAAGTAAATAGGATGGGCTAAGGGTGAATTTGTTGATTTTTTCTGAAAAATGGGCCTCTGTGGAAGCCATCTTGGCTTTTCATACCTGTTTCTTAGTGCAGAAGAATTTCATAGTAAATATTGATTTATCAGCCTGAAATTTGGCACACAGGTACAAACTTAAATGGACTGGGAATCCGTGTGAGGATTTTGACCTATCTTCAAAACTAAAAAAGTGAGCCCAAAGTCAATGGACCCCCGAGAGTCAGTTGATGAAATTTGGGGGTACATATTACCAAAAATGTGAATATTTCCACAAGTAACCGATATTTCCCAATTCCCTCACATAGATCCCCAGAATAGACCTTAAAGCACATGTACGCCAAATTTGAAGCTTCTAGCTTCAGTAGTTTTTAAAAAACTCCCTGCACCAAGGAGGTCACATATGTCAAAAAGTAGATTTTAAGAAAAACAGAAAAAGCAGGGATTTTTAAAAGGATTTTTAGTGCAATTTGCACTTTTCAAACGCCCTTTTAGGTCATTTAAGGTGTTTTTTCAACAGTTTCGTCATTGTGACTCAATAGAACAGATGTCAAAGGATGTTTTTCCGCAAAAAACAAAAGTTGGATAGTTAGAAAAATTTTTATATTGTCTGGGATCGCCAACCCGGGTCTTCCCTTAACCTCGAGGCCACGAGAGCCCCTGAGATTTTTACCCGTTACTGAAAAATGACCATTTACGGCTCAACAGATGATAAAAGACTCAATAAAAAAACCATAACTTTTCTCAAGCTGATAGAATGACCCGTTTAAAAATAATAAGCGATCAAACAATCACAAAGCGCAAAACGCGATGAAGTCGTCAATTAGTACATAAGCACAGTGAAACAAGTGATAACACATAGCGTATGGTCGTTCAGCTGGACCATGTTGTTAGATCAATGTCTGGGCCAAGAGAGGGGCTTCAAATTCAAAATGAATTGTAAACTCATTCATCTTCATTTATAACTTTGACCTCCAATATTATATATACCTATGTCATTTACCATATAAAGAACACTGAAATTTTTCGTTAAAGAAGGTCAGGGTCTATGCCATTTATATATATTTATCTTTTCTCTGTTTTCAAATATCCAAACAGACCAGTTGGGTCATGAAAATGCTAGTGATTAATAGCTCAGAATGTACTGAACTTTTGTCATCATAAAATTGCTTTATCATTATGTACTTTGTGTGTGTCTGTATTTGATATCAGTGCGATATAAGAATGTTCACCAAGTTTTTTTTGTCTACATTTCAGGTCTTAGTGGGCGTTTTTTGGTCACTTCGTTGCCAACTCTTTATCAGTAAGTTGATTGAGTTAAGCAGATGTATCACTTTTTGTCAGCAAGGTTAAATCCAATAGAACATGAAACAAGCAGTGAAACAAAAGGGAGTCGAGAGGGATGAGCAGTTCATTTTTACTTCTGTTCTCACCACTATGAATGATAAGCTACTTAATGGGGTTTTATAAGGACTGTGCATTTCTTCAGTTGGTATAGTCCTGGTGGAGGATATCGGGCACAATGGTGCCGATGCCTAGGCATTTCTTGACTACTGATTTCTTCATAACACATGTCTGTTTGATGAACATTGTATAAGGGTAGAGAAAGGAATTGACAAAGTAGAATTAATATTTTTATGTTTCTCTTTTTTTCATAGAGGTTGTACTAAGGAGAGTGCAAATGCACTTCTTGTGACTTTTAAAAAAGGGAAGATTATCTCTGGCTGGCTTTTGAGACATCAAGAACAGAAAAGTAGTGGTGAATCAAATAAAATGCCACTTTAATATTGGGGCCAATGTTTATATTCATTGATGTTTTGGCAGAACTCTTCATTTCTAATGTGGTGTTTGGAAAGAAGATGCCCAAGATATTACAGTATGATCACAGTTCTGCTGTCAGCTGACAAAACGCCTTTTTTAAGATTCACAACAGTTTCGAGAAAAAGAGAGGGGGGGGGGGGGGGAATGGGGGAGGGGTTTCAGCACAACCATTTAGAAATAGCGTTCTTCCGAAATTTGCATTCTAACTTATTAAAATACTAGTCACAGGTTTCACTTTGATTTTTTCACACAAGTAGGATAGCTGATTATGCTTTCGATTTTGGAAATAAAAAATGTTGGCGCCAAAATGGGGAAAAAAGGCATTTTGTCAGCTTACGGCTGCGTTGTAGTGCATGTTATTTTTCTCTGCAGCTGTGCTCTGAGGGTCTGTGTTTCACTTGAGTATGGAAAGGTTAAAAAACTTGCACAAAAAAATCTAATCATGAAGAGGAAAAGAACTGGCTGGTTTACTCAAACTTAAATTGAATTGTTATGTGGTAAGATTCTGGAATATATTTGTCCACTTGGGCTGGTGAAAGGAATCACCTATTGCTTGCTATTATTGTTATTGTTTGATTTGTAGAGATGTTTTCACCAAATTTTATGTGTTAATTTACATAGTGAATATTTTTTGTTTTCTTTTGCAGTGTGAAAGATGGAGTCTTTCGTCACTACTATGGTGGTCGCAAGACGACAGATTTGATTAGCCTTATAGATGAGAAGAAATGGCGGGACATTACGCCTGTGGCCTGGTACAGAGACCCCAACTCTTTTCTGTGAGTTTCATGTTTGAAATGGATCTCTACAATATGAAATTTAAGGACTTTCAATGCAGTTTTCTTTTGCTTTTAATTTTTTGATGATCGGTAAGGTTGTATATATATACAAGGGGGCTCTCGTGGCCTAGAGGTTAAGGTGTTGGCCTCTCATTCAAAGGTCCCGGGTTCGAATCCGGGTAGCGACCGAAAAATTTTCTTCTCTAAAATTGTCTCCTTTCACCTCCTTTCCTGCTCTCTAACAATGTTCTGTTGTCTGCTTTCATTTCCACTTTCTGCCCCCACCCCCTCACCTCCTCTGGGCTCCTGACTCTGCAGCCTTTCTACAGCTACTCCTTGACTCCTCCTTACTGCTGTCTTTCTGCCACACCCCTGATCTTCTGGTAGGAAAGATCTACACCTAGCCTTCTCGGACAAGGGCGAAAAATCTCGGAGGGCCCGTGTGCAAGTTGCGCACGTTAAAGATCCCTTGGTGGTCTCAAATTGATAAGAGTAGGCTTCGGCCGCCACCCGGGCAAAATTCAAAATTTCCTACCAACTGAAAATATTAGGTGTGTCCCGTGCGCTCATATGACCTATGCAGTTGCAAGCGCCGTAAAACACTTTACAAAAAAACCAAAATATATATACAGTGGAACTCGGATTCAACGAAGTCGTTGGACCTGGCCTTGAATTTCATTGAATCCGAGTGTTCGTTATTTGAAACTAGAGGTTTTTGTGGAGATAGGTATGGGCACCGAGCAAGTAATGTTATATTCGACTTTCTCAATCAAAAGTACAAATTTGGTTTCAAATGAGAGGCATTTTCGTTTCTTTGATACCAAAGATGTGCTGAAAAAATTCCAGAAAATTACACTGAACTCTACCAAACACATATCGTGCAAAAGGCCCGATTCATTTGTATCTCATCCCCCCAGACACACGCACGAACAGTCGCCCGTCACATGTGTGATAGCCGCCCGTCCGATCTTGACACACATTTAGACATGGGTGCATGATAACAAGATGTGTGATGGTATGAAAGGAGGCCGCTGATTGGTCGAATAGAGCAGTTCACCCTGGAAGCGACTTTGTTGAATCCGAGCTTGCTCATTTATGTGTTCGTTGAATCTGAGTTACTTTTATTGATTTTTATTAATTAAAAAATCGGGGAATCCAACTCCTTTAATTGAATCCGAGTTTTTGTTGAAACCGAGTTCCACTGTATTATGCTTTTGCAATGTAAAACGTAGTAGTATATTTTGACAGGAGTTGAAATAGTCATGGAAATATCAGCTAGCTTATTCTATTTTTGTTAATTTTGATTAGCTGCTATGGTATGTCTGCCTTTGAGAAATTTGTGTAGGATAGATAGTCATGCATATAATTCCACTTTTTGTTTTACTTCTGTCTTCTTGCCCTAAATCTTGTTTGCTGATGGCCCTACCAGCAGTTAAGTATATCTACACTATAAGGGTGTTTTAGTGCAAGGAAAGAAGTCAAGTTTGAAATATAAGTACTGATTGCATATCATGAAAGAGGTAATTCAGATTACTAACAGCATCCCTACCAAACAAGACTTGTCATATCCAGAGTGCCATCAAATAATTTATATTATATAGTCTAGCAGACACATAGTGAATTCTACGAGACGCAGAAATCTTTTTTGGAATGTAAGAATTTTGCAATGTACATGATGAAACTCAAAGAATATCCATGTATAAAAAAGAATTCAGGAACTGAAAATCTGTTCACTTACCAGCAATTCATAGCGTTACTTATGACTCATGTTTTACAATGATTCATATTATGGGTTCGCTTTTCAGGTTTCACCAATGTTAATTTTTATGTAGTGACTCACATTTTTCGTGTGATTTTATTTTCTTGCAGAATGGGAATAGTAGGTGCCTTCTTTAAAGCAGCCATGTTCATTCGGGTAAGTTATGAAATTGAGGAGCTGTCAACAGCTGTCAGCTTATGAACACTAAAGATTCCCTCGAAATGCTTACATTGTCTTCATTCACAGAGTTACATGAGACAGTCATAATCTATTTCTTTTTTTTTAAAGCTTCATGAAGGTTTGATTGGAAATCTAGGAATTTTATTGTTACACATTTTGAATTTCTTTTCGATGATTTTATGGTAATAAAGGGCCTTATGTATGCAGTAAAAAAGCAGTGACTTGTAGTTGGTCTACTGTATAATTTTTTTTTTTTTAATTTTGTACTCCATTGAAGATAGTCAATATATCCAACAGCTTGTTTAAAGATTGAAGTTTGTGGAGGTAAGTGAACTCAACTTTAGCTGTGTGTATGCTTTTTACTGCAGCAAAAAGTGTTTTAGTCCAGGCATTTATAGTTGTTGCTTACAGGAGCTTACAGGATTTCCCTCTATGAATGGACATTAATCATTGCAAATGAGAGGTTAACGAAGTTATTGTTTGAGAATATTTAAAGTAAGGAACCAGTGATCAGTTATGTTTCAATAATTTGCTTTTGTTATAATTATGAAAATAGCCATCAAGAACACCATCTCCATCGTGATAAGATTGGATAGCTACAAAATGTTCGCTTTTGGATTTTTTTCGCGAAACATTCAACATAGCATATTTCATATGCTGATTAAAAATTTATATTCAAATAAACAAACAAAAGTGGACTTTTTTAACAGTATGAATATTGGATAACTCAAAGCTGTCCTTTTAAAATGTCAGTTTTTTCTTTCTCCTAAAAAAGATACCTGATGCCACTTGTCTGATCTTATCGCGATGTCGACTTTTCCCTTGAAGGGCATTTCATTAAAATTTTAAGGCATATTTTTCCCTTTTCCTTGACCTATGTGACTTCACACAAATAATGTATTTGGACAGGGTTCCAGAGATCGGATTAGGACCTAGTTCAGTCTTGCAGTTATTACAATGATGGGTAGTAGTATTATTAGTCAATATTTCTCCCTGTCAGGTCCAGATTGGGAAAAAAAAAAGATTTTTCCATCAAAGTCCCTCCCAGCTGTTCTTCCTCTGAGTTTCTTTATAACAGGATTTAACTGATGGGATGGTTGTATGAACTCTGTCTGCGTATCAAAAGGTATATTTTAAGAAGGAATTATTCAATGTAACATCCTTAATATTCATTTTTAGTTCCTTCAAAAACGAAGGTTTAAATGGATGGATAATATACATTGTATTTCCTTTTTTCGTCTGTTTGCCAGGGTGTGTACAACAGAATGACGGAGGTGTATGGCATCCCGGAGTGGGCATGCTATTTGATTTTTGCTATATTGACAATTATCACAGGATTATTATTGGGCTTGGTAAGTTTACATCCCTTGGTTATAAGAATTGTTACAAATTGTATTTTCTATTTCCTTTTCTTAGTCAAATACTTCATGGTTCTGCTCAACCTGTTTCTTGTTGTACTGTTTTCTTATTGACTTACAGCTTTGAAGGAGAGTTTTGAAATGGGGGATATAATTTCATTTCTTTACTTCTTCCCCAAAAGCCATGAAAGCATATATAACATTTCATTTGTGCAATTAAATTTTTAGTAGGCCTAATTGTGTCACTCTGATCTTTACAAATTTTAACATTAAAGCTTTTTTTATTTCCCACTACTCTCACATCTTTCCAAACTGGCTATGTGCACAATGGATGTTTAGATGGTTCCAAAAATGAGCATTGTTGTGGTACATCCTCTCATTTACAATTAAAAATATTATGCTTTTCCTTCCAAACCAGTGAAAGACGGCGAAGATGATTTGCTATTTGTATAAATTACTTAGTGATATAAGTTTTATAAGTGTGCCTCTGTGCCCAGATATTTGTAAGATGATCTCTTTTTGATAGTGAAAACTCCTCTATTTCTGTGCATTTCTCTGCACAGAGATAAAATGTAGCATTCTGACGTTGAAAATTTGAATCTTCTTCTGTTCACCTGTCTTCCTCCTAAGCGAAGTCAGGAACTCTCATAGTTGTTACATATTAACACTAGATCTGTTGGTTAAAAACCTCGCAAACATGTAGCGAATTTGATTGGGCCTTAAGGGGATCCGCGGGTCTCGATCCCCTAGAAAATCGGGTATTTGCTAAAAAAAAATGGAACTTCAAGTATTTGGATATTCTTACAGAAAAATATGTCAAGAATCCGTTTGTGAAGGTCCCAAAACCTAAGGAGATCTCTAATATATATATAAAAATGTATTTGAAAGCGGTAGGGGGGGCAAAAAAATGCAAACAAAACGTCAAGAAATGTTAAACTTTACCCCTTGACAACAACACTTTCTGTGGCTGCAAGGTAATCAAGTTTGGTATCGTTGGAAAGGCCGTGATAAGAGCTATTCGATTATTGCACTTTCG